TTTTTTTTTTTTTTTGGTTGGTAGAGTTTTTATGACTGTGTCAATGTCATTGCTTGTTATTGGTCTGTTTGGGATTTTTTTTATATCCTAGTGGTACAGTTTTCTTAAGTCATATATATCTAAGAATTTATCCATTTCTTTTAGACTCTCCAATGTATTGGAATGTTTCTAATAATTCTCTAGATCTCTAGTGTCTCTGTTGTACTTTCAGCTTTTTAATTTCTGATTTTGTTGATGTGCGTTTTCTCTTTCTCTTAGGTAAGTTTGGCTAAGGGTTTATCAATCTTACATGTCCTTTCAAATAACCAACTCTGATTGATCGAGCCTTTTAACTTTTTATAGTCACTTTTACTAATTTCCACTCTGACCTTTATAATTTCTTTCCTACTAATTTGGGGTTTCAGTTGTTTTTCTCAGACTTTGAGATGTATCATTAAGTTATTTATTTGGGATTGCTATGTTTTCTCACGTAGGCAATCGTAGCTATAAATTTCCCTCTTAGTGCTACTTTCACTGTACCCCCCCAGATCCTGATATGTTGTATTTCCATTGTTACTGTATGCTAGGAATGTTTACATTTCTTCCCTGGTTTCTTCTTTGACCCATTCATCATTCAACAGTATATTATTCAATTTCTGTGCGTTTGTGTGTTTTCTGTGATTTTTTTTTTTGCCATTGATTTCTAGTTTCATTTCATTGTAATCTGATAGCATGCCTGAGATTGTTTTAGTTATCTTGTATTTATTGAAACATGGTTTGTGGCCTAAATAATGGTATATTTTGTTGAAATCTGTGGGCTACTAAAAAGAATGTATTCTGCTGTTGTTGGGCAAAACATTGTGTAGATACATGTTAAAGCCATTTGCTGTACAGTGTAAACTCTGACTCTGGTATTTCTTTGTTGATTGAGGGGGGCTGGTTGACCTGTCTGTTTGTGAGAATGAGTTATTAAAGTCCCCCACTATGATATCATTGGGGTCAATCTGTCCTTTTACGTCAAGTAGTTTTTGTTTTATAAAATTTGGCATGCCAATGTTTGGTACATATATATTTACAAACGTAATCTCTTCTTAGTGAATTACTTCTTTCACCAGTATGTAGTGAACTTCTTTATCTCTTCTGACCAGTTTTGGTTTGAAGTCAACTTTGTCAGAGATTAGAATAGCTACTCTATGGGAATGTAGCTCTGTGGCACAGCACCTGCCTGGCAAACTCAAGGACCTGAGTTCAATCCTCAGTACTAAAAGAAAAAAAGTTCCTATATCCTAGAATAGCTACTCCTACTTGCCTTCAGGGTCCAGCTGCTTGGAGTATCATTTAACATGCTTTAATTTTCAGTCTGTGTGTGTGTGTTGGTGGAGATGTGTTTCTCCAGACAATATATAGTTTGGTCTTGGTTTTTTATTCATTCTGCCATTCTGTGTCTTGGCGAGAGAGTTAAGACTATTTGCATTAAGTGTTATTATTGAAAGGTATGTTCTGAGTCTGTCATTATAGTGTTTCCAGTGCTTGATTGCTTTGTTTTCCATTTGTTTACTCTTCCAGTGAGATTTATTCTTTCCCTTGGCTTTGTGGATGTTGTTGTCTTCCTTGTCTCTGTTTAGAATTCCCTGAAGTATTTTCTGCAGTACTGTCATGGTGGTCACGAATTTCTTTAGTTCATCTTTATCATAGGATATGTGTGTGTGTGTGTGTGTGTGTGTGTGTGTGTGCGCACGTGCTCACGTGCGTGTGTATTTTGAAGGATAATTGCAGAATATAGTAATCTGGTCTGGTAATTATTTTCTTTCAGGACTTGAAAAGTTTTACTCCATGCCCTCCTGGCCTTTAAGATTTGTGTTGAAAAATCTGATGAGTTCACCCTTACAGATTACCTAGCACTTCTAACAGCTTTTAGAGTTCTCCCTTTATTCTGAGTTTCTAGCATTTTGACTGTGATGTGTTGTGGAAAGGTTCTTTTCTGGTTGTATTTGGGGCTCTTAAATGCTCACTTTCCCTGAGTATCCATCTCCTTACTTGCCTTTGAGGAATTTTCTGCAATAATTTCACTGAATAAATTTTCTGTGTGTTAGCCTCTATACCATCCCCTTCATCAAATTCAGTGATCCTAAAATTTGTTCTGCAGAATCATATAGGTGTTCTTGGATAACCTTTAGATTGTCTCTTGTTTTTTCATTGTTATGGACATCTACCTTGTCTTCAAGTCCTGATATCCTTTCTTCTGACTGATTTCACCTACTGCTGAAAATTGAAATTGTGTTTTTTATTTCCAGAATTTTTGTTTGATTCCTTTCTATAGCCTCTATCTCTTTCCACTGTCTTCCTTAATTCATTCAGCTGGTTCTTTGTATCTTCTTTGAGCTCACTGATCATCTTAGTAATTGATTCATTCACCTGCTTACAATTGTTTTTTGACCTCTTTAATCATTTTAACTATTAGGTTTCTTGATTCTTTGGTATTTCATCCATGTCAGTGTCTTTAGGACCAGCATTTAGGGAGTTATAAATTTTTGGAGGCATACTGTTGCCTTATTTTTTTCATGATTCTTGCATTTAAGTTTGTAGATCAGTTAGGATTTAAAAAAAAAACAACTCTGTAGTATTGTGGAGACATCTTTAGCAAGTGGACTTCTCCCTATGATGCTCTGAGTGTGATTCAGCCTGAAGGCACCCACTCAACCTATTTGAAGTACTAAGTTCAATCCCTAGCACAGCATCGCGAGGTGAGAACAACTACCAGTCATATCAGTATCCAAAGAGCCAACCGCATATCAACATACAATTTAAAATTTGTTTTTAAAATTCTCAACTCTTTCAAAAACCCAGGAAGACAAAGGAATAGTAATAATAACGGATAGGCTAAGAAACAAAAAACCAAAAAATATTAAGAAAATAAAAGAAAAAGTAAGTTTTGATGATACTTTTTTTTTCTGTGGAAATGATAGGGGAGAGAGATTTCAGAGATTGTAAAAGGGGAAGGAAGGAAAAGAGGGAAGAAGAGAGGGAGGGAAGGGAGAGAAAAGAAAAGCAGGCAGGCAGTCAAGCAAAGCAGGAAGTATAGAAATGAAAAGAGAGATATGATATATGGAGATTGGATCCAGTTAATAAACTTGCAGAAACATAAAGCTAGATGACCCAAGAAACAACCTTTGGTGAGAGAGAACCTGACAAACCAAGGTAAGACACTACAGAATCAAAACCAACAGTTAACACCTATGTGCAGTTGCATATACATACGTGCCCCACACATATAAACTAAAAAAAATAGGTTTTTTGTTTTCTAGAGGAGGTTTTTGAGACAGGGTCTCACTTTGTAGTTCAGGCTGGTCCTGAACTCACTATGTAGCCCAAGCTATCCTTGAACTCCCAGCGATCCTCCTGTCTCAGCCTCCCAGGTGCTGGGATTACCAGTGTGTGACACCACACCCAGCAAGAAAATAGGTTTTAATGATGGTATTTATATACAAGGAAAGCAGGGGGAAGAGGGAAAGGAAAGAAGAGATCAGAAGGGAATATACATGGAAAGTGAGAAAGATACAAGGAAATTACACATCATTAATGAACTAACAGAAACACTAATTTAGCAAATGCTGTGAAACAAACCTTGGCGTGGGAGAACATAATGTGGAGTCTGAGCTCTACCCCTCTTGTGGATGAGAATTTGGGTGAGTCCGCCATTGACTGAATTGAATCCCACCTACTAAGGTAAACTCTTCTGTACCTAGGGGTGATGAGGCTGGAGAATCCAGACTGTCCACCGAGTCTGTCACTCGCATAGTCTGTTGGAAAGTCCAGAGCATAGGCTAAAGCTCTAGAAATTTCCATACTGTGATTTTGGAGACATGGTTGGCCAGTGTCTGCGCTCTAGAAATCATCCAATCACCACTGCTCTGGAGAAAAGAAGACCAGGCAGCTGCTTAGTACTGATCGGGTTCATATCCAGAGGTCTCAGGTCCAATTGGTCTTGTCCTGGATTCATTCCACACGTCCCATCGGAGTTGCCAGAGTGTAGCCTCTGTGGGAACTTGGCTTTAGTGATAATAAAAATTCAAACTGAAGCAAAAACACAAAGCTACAGGCAAAAATTTTAACTGGGAAGAAAAAGAAAATGGGGAAAGGACTTTGGCTTGAGGGGAAGAAAAGCTGAAGGAGGCACAGCTCTGAGAAGATCAGACTGCATTATTTGTTGATGTTTATTACTTCCACCTTCAGAAGGCTGACACTGGGCTGGGAATGTTGCTCAGTGGCGGACTGCCTGCCCAGCATGCCTGAGACCTGCAGCCTGCTAAGGCTGTATTCTGTCTATACAACCAATCTCTAATAGTTCTTCCAACTTTCAGCTCACCCGTGATTCTGGCTCTGATTCTTAGAAATGTTTATTTACAGGCCCCCTTCTACATCAATGTCTATACCAATTGCTGGTGAATCTGAGTCTCTGGAAGAAGACAGAAAAGGTGGAGAGACCCTCAAAGTCCACCTTGGAATAGCAGGTATGAATTTGTAGCTTACTGGTATTTTGTGATTTGTAAGAAACAGTACTGCTTGATCTCCCAAAAGATCCCCAAAGGCCTTCCAGATTTAAAATTTTATGGGCACGCAGCCTGAAATGGGCCACTGAATATCAGCATAATTATGGTTAAGCCAGTGCTTTTTTGTCTGTAGTGGTGTGCTCGGACAAATTGATAGGTGAATGTTGCAGTAAACCCCACCCCACACCCCACTGAACGCATCTGCTGCCCACAGTTAGAACGGGAGACTTCGGGACTTTTCCCATTCTACATGCCCAACAGCCAGTAACCTCTCAAGTGCTGCTTCTGTGCCAGAAGTCACTTTCCCTCTATGACTGTCACGCCTAAATATGCACCCACATCACCCAGAGGGCTTGTTAAAACAGACTGCTAGTGCCAATAGCCAGGGTTTTGGACTCAGTGGATAAGGGTTGGTGACTAAAGCCATATACTACATCAAGATCCATTTTTTCCTGGCAAACTTTCAGTAAATCGCCATCTCTTCTAGGAGTTAAAGGCCAGCCAGGTGGTACATACCTGTAGTCCCATCTGAGGCAGGAGGTTTGCTTGAAAGCAGGAGTTTGAGACCAGCCTGGGGAACATAGTGAGATTCTACTAAAAAACAAAACAAACCACCCTCCCCCCAAAAAAGTACGCAAAATGTCAAGTTGACTGGAGGAGAAAAAGACAGAAAAGCTTCTTTCTATCTCTCAAGTTATGTGAGCAGGGTGTGTTATTTGAAAGAACAGAAAGAAAGGTGATGGATTAACATTTTTGCTGCCTTTTCAAATATACAGTGATACAGTTTTTTACAGATAATGATGGCTATGAAATCCTGATTCAAGATTAGCAAGTCCTTTGTCTATTTTTAACCTTTTTATTATCTTCTTTACCCTCAACACTTCTTTACCCTCAACACTTAAATATCCTAAATTCTTTCTTACATTGAGAAAATCACTAACTCTGCATCTTTCTCTATTGCTGTCTTGTAAGCTCCAGCAGGCTGGTGCTTGTTATTAGATAGATAGGTAGATAGATAGATAGACCGATCGATCTAGTAGATTATTTGGTAGCACTTGTTGGCCCAACTGTGTACAATATCATTTATTGAACTGTTGCTATAATATATTACTCAGTTACTCTCCTGCTTCCAAGGAAAAACAGTTCGGGTTTCACCTTAATGAAAACAGTCTTACATTCTGCCAAAGAAGATTACTCCTAGAAATACATCATTGATACCTAGAATATGCATATGATCAGGGAACTACAGTATCAGAAGTGGTTTTAGCAGTGCTTTTTTGCAGATTTACAAACTAATAAAACTGAGTACTACAATCAGTTTCTAAAGAAACGTCTCCTTAGTGCTGCATTCCATGCTGTGTTGATTTGTCACAGACATTGCCCAAGTTACAGCATACACTAGCAACACTAACACTAAATAATAAAGTATTCTAAATAATAAAGTATTAGTTTACTGCTGTGTTTGATTTGGAAGGAAGCAAGATTTATTCAAAAACCAGTGAAATCTGGTAATTTTGTGACAATGTGTAAGAAAAAACCTGGCTTGTTTTTATTTAAGAAGTGCTAGACACAAAAACAGTACTAATTTTAAGAGTGCTGCTAAATGTTATAAAAAATACTATAATTCTTCAGTGAACTAAGATATTTCAGTATTTTCCTTTTAGCTGGGTGCAGTGGTGCACACCTGCAAACCCAGCACCATGGGAGGCTGAGGCAGGAGGACTGTGAGTTGAAACCTAAGCAGGGCAACTTAGCAACTTAGTGAGACCTTGTCACAACATAACAAATTTGAAAAGGTGTGAGGGTATAGCTCAGTCCAAAGCCCCCAGTGCCACATACACACACAAAAGAAGATATTTTAGTATTTTTTATTTCTTTCAATGCATTTTTCCCTTTTACTGATTTAGAGGGATCTGTGTCACTTTCTGACCTATTTTTCTTGATAGTGAACTTGGCATAGTTTACAAATGCTAATTATAATACAAATTGATCATTAACTTATTTGCAATAATAGTAATACCATATTACAACACATTACAGATCTTTCAGCAAAGAGTACCTCTGTTCCCGATGAACTGGGCGCCTGTGGACATTCCAGAACATCAAGCTATGCAAGCCAGCAGTCGAAAGTATCAGGTAGAGGTTAATAGTGAAAGGGAATTCCTTATTGTTCCAAGGGGTCTTGAAACTGCTGTGGTATAGAAGGACTTTAGATTGCAGTGTGTCTGATATTAGTGTCATATCCAAAGTGATTTCTCTCTGACAGGGTATAGCACATGTCATTCCCGGTCATCTAGTTTCTCTGAGTTCTGCCACAGGAGAAATACCTCAGTGGGGAGTACATCAACAGGAATTGAAAGTATTCTAGAGCCTTGTGATGAAATGGAGCAAAAAATTGCTGAAGCAAATCTTGATCCTGCTGATAAAGAAGATGCAGCCTCTGAAAAATTCAACAGGTATCCTTTTAGTTTAATGGATAAATTTAAATGTAATTTTTTGTTTTCATAACATAATAAAAAGAAGGAAAAAACTGTCATTGTTTTCAAAGATGCCCAGTGAAACAGGATTCTGTAGAATCTCAGCTGAAGCGAGTTGATGACACCAGGGTGGATGCAGATGATATTGTGGAGAAAATATTACAAAGTCAAGACTTCACTCTAGACTCCAGTGCAGAAGGTGCGTGGGAAACTGTCAAGCAGAGATTTCTGTAATCCAGGGCTGTCTAGTCCATGTGGTCAGCAGGAAGGAGGCAGTTACATCATGCTGCTACTGCATATTTGTAAACTAAATTTCATGCCCATAAAAATCTCAAGGTAACTTTATAGTTTATTTCTGAGAATGAATATTGAATTTGGAAAATGAATGAATGTTAGTTAAAAATGATCCATTTTAAGGAATGTAGTTCAGTGGTAGAACAAGTGCTTAGCACATGTAAAGCTATGGGTCTAATCCCTAGCACTCCCTAAAAAGGAGAGGTTAATTATAAAGAAAACTTTGCCTTTAAATTATGGTTCAAGGCCTCCCACATTCATGCCCTTAATATCTGCATCTCTGCCTGCCATAATGCTTCAAGTCTGTTATACTATGGAGGGTTGAGACCATGGTCTTAAAACAACAGTGAGTAACAGAATCCTTCAGGCCCTCCTTTGCATTTTTCCTGAAATGAAAATGTATGTGCTCCCAGTTTGAAAAGTACAGTTACACATGCTAGTGTGAAAAGAGAGTACTTAACAATGGAAATGAAAATTTGTAGGAAGGGCTATTTTCAAAACTCAGTTTAAAGAAAAAGAGCTTTAGGAAAGCTGACGAGAAGTAATTGTTAGTATAGCTTTTAAATTGCCTAGTTTTCAGTTAAACCAACTGAATGTGAAATACTGATTACTACAGTATGTTAGGTGACTGTAGTCTAAAGGTTGTGCATATAACAAACATTTTACATGTATATTGCAGAAGAAGGACTGAGGTTATTCGTGGGTCCTGGGGGAAGCACAACATTTGGCAGTCATCATCTCCCAAATAGGTATGTAGTCTAAGTGGTACCTTACTAAAAGTCAGATGGACTGTTTAAAAATGTTTCATGAGCAGAGACCAAAGATTGCAAAGCGTTTATTAGACTAACACTGGAAAACACAAATACCAGTAGCTACATGAAGAGAACCAACAGTTCTTTGTGTGGCTCTCACTTTTCCTTATTTTGAGTGTTTCTTTCACATTATGTAAGTTTGCTAATTTCCTTAAATGTATTCTTAGACTATATTGGTAAAGGACTAGGAGAGCACTGGACAACTTGTGATATAAAAAGGATATTCACAAAAGAGTCTTAATCTAATATTTTAGACATAGCAAAATTTAGACGGAGCAAAATTATATTTTCACCTTTTTTTTTTTTCTGTTTTGCAGTACTGGGGATTGAACCCAGGGCCTCATGTATGCTTGGCAGGTGCTCTACCACTGGGCTACACACCCAGCCCCCAAGTTACATTTTCAGTCAGTAGTCTTATGTGTTGATGAGCATGCTGTACCTACTCGTTAGCATAATAAATAACCTTTCTTGCACTCTTCTTTTCTCCACACCAGAATCTAACATACATACCAATAAAAGTCCTAAACACCAAGCATCTTTTTGGGAATTACTCAAATTCAAAAGAAAAATCACCTGCCAGATGGCTGTATTTTTAGCTCAGTGGCATTGTGCTGGCCTTGCAAGTACAAGGTACTGAGTTCGATCCCTGGTACCAAAAAAAAAATCACCTGCCAGACTTACCACTTGATTCTTGGTACAGGTTGAGTACCTCTTGTCCAAAGTGCTTGAACGAGGAGTGTTTTAGTTTACAGAGATTTTTGGATTTTGGAATATTTGCACTTTTACCAGTTGAGCATCCCAAATCTGAAAACGCAAAACCTGAAAATGTGCTGAAATTTTTTAAGCATCATGCAAGCCCTCAAAAAGTTTCAGGTTTTGAAGGATTTCAGATTTTCAGATTTACAGTGCACCCTAACTGCAGCAAAGAGGTAAACACGGATACAGCCCAGAAATTCTGTTTGTTCGCTTGCTTCCATCACCCCGGCACTGTTTCTACGTAATGTTTACGAAGAGCCCCCTGAACAAAATTCAAGTCGCAGAAATGGGGGAGCGTCCTGGGCCAAGAGACAATCATCATTCTCTTATGCTTAAAACTGGAAATAAATTTAAATTCATTTATTCCATCAATAGTCATTTTAGGGCCAAGGATTTAGCTCAGTGGCACTGCACCTGCCTCGCAAGCACAAGGTCCTGAGTTCGATCCCTGGTACCCAAAAAGAAATAAAGCATTATAAGATGTAAAATAAATGAGGTAAGGGCCGGGGATTTGGCTTAGTGGTGCTACCACCTGCCTCACAAGCACAAGGACCCAAGTACAATCCCTGGTACAAAAAAAAAAAAAAAAGTTTAAAAAAAATGAGGAAACAGGCAAAAGGCATGAAAAGAAAGTTATTTCATCAACCAGGATAACATGGACGATAAACACATGAAAAGACATTCAGCATTATAACTCATTAGGGAAATTTAAAATCACAGTGAGATATCAGTGCACATTAACAAAATGACCAAAATTAAAAATAGTAACAATAGTCATTGCTGGTGAGGATAAAAAAGAACTGGGTCACTTGTATTAATCAGGGTTTTGTGAAGAAACAGAAAACGTGTGTGTGTGTGTGTGT